TATAAATACTCTGCATTGTAAATATTTGATTTTTTATACGTGAAGTCGATACCTGAAGTATTTCGATTTAAAACAAGCAGTTTTTTGCTCCGCAATAGAAAACGGTAGATTTATTCATTATGAAAATAAAATGAAACTATCAGAAGAGTCTTAGATTATAATATAAATAGAGCATCGAGTTTCAAAAACGGGTCATCTTTTTGTCAGCTAATTGTCATATTAGCTTACACGTTTTTTACCAGTGTTCTTTATACTTAGGCATACAATGTATCTTGACGTATTATTTTATAAATAAAATTAATATTTACGCATTAAAAAGGTGCAGAAATTAGAAGACAAAATAAATACAGAAGTTATAAAGGAATCACTCATAACTATTTATCATGCAAAAAATGTATGAAAATGTTTACTCGCTTTTCTCGAAACATTTGTATGGAAACACTGTCTATATAATCTAAGAGAAGAGTACAGTGAACTTGGGTTCAGAATTATCATGGTCGAAAAAATAATAATAGACGAATTGAAAAAAATATCCTATTGAAACTCGCTCAAAACATCCGCGAGTCGACGATTTCCCTCTTCTTGAAATTTCATAATAAATTATTAATTAAAAATCTCGCTTTTGGTGAAGACAAATCCAATATGACGTGACTCCAAGCAGACTTGTTTGGTTACACTTTAGTAGGTACCATTGTTGCCATAGCAACGTTTGTTTTACTGAACACCGATTCCCTAGGAAAACCATGACTAAGCCCCTAGCGTAGTCTACTAGTCTGCGTTCCGTCACTGGTAACAAAGGAAATAGTAAAAAATCAATTATACGACACATTAATTGCCATAGTCCGCTTTGCGTTTCGATTGTTTCATTTCTATTGAAATTTCACTGTATGACAAATTTAATAGTTACTGGAAATGGTAATTTCGAATCTAGTTAATATTTGTATTGTTAAAGATTTGAAATATGTATTGTTTTTTTTTATGGGTGAAAATGAAATGGCAACCCCGCCTGTGCTATCGGTATACGCTGGCGGGGCACCAATGAAGGATGATAGATAAGGGTGAAAGCAGGTCAGTTAGCCCATCGTAAAGAATTCCGTGAGAATTAACCATGATGGTTTCCAGGGAGAACCGCGTGGAGGTCGATCTGATAGAGTACATTGCTAGCAATGGAACTATTAGATCCCATTACTAACAATCCCTTTCCCTTCAATATGTATTGTTTGTTTGTTATTTTGTGTATTACTTTACGATTTTTAAAGTTGTAAAAGATTTAAAAAAAAAATACGTAGAATACGGTAACAATATTAACATATCTAGTTTAAACAATTTTTTTTTTTATTTTATATATTCACGGACAAATTAAATCTCGCGTGTTACAGCTGTAATGAAGAATACCAGTATTAAAAAATAAAAAAAGACCTAAAAAAAGCAGCAACTTCAATAATTACAAATTCAATATGAGAGCATCTAAAAAAAACGTATTCAGATAGGTTCAAGGTTGGCCAAGATACCACATACCTAACCTAAACCTAAATAGTTACCTAGTAACGAGATCGAACAGGCCCATTACTAGCAATATACCCTAACAGGTCGACCACCACGCGGTTCCCCTGAAAACCATTGTGGTTAATTTTTGATGAATTCATCATAATGGGACAACAGATATACTTCATCTTCACTGATGCCCCGCCAACGTAAATCAATAACGCAAGTGGAGGATCCATTATCATCCATAAAAAATAGGTTTACAATAAAAAAAAAAAAACAAGAGAGATTAGTACCAACAGCGATGTCAAAGCTTAGTTTATAAATTCTGACAGGCAGAGAGTTTAATCGCTGAGTAATTCACATAGAATTATTTAATCTCTGGTAGGCAACATGGTGAAGCATAGATTAATTTTGAGCGATGGTTTAATATTCGGGAATAACGAGATTAACTACCGTTATCTTGTACTCATCTCTTCATTCCAAGATATTTTATCCACTTGTAAAATCTTTTCTTTACTTCTTATCGCTGAAGTATTCTAAATTCAAAATAATTTACATATTTCTGATTTTAGAGTACATTCCTATTTACGCAAAATTTGAATTAATCAGTCAATTAATATAAATAAATATAAATATAATAAAATTGTAATTAAATTATATTTGCATATGGGAGATATTTAAGAAACACTTGATATGACTTGTATGGTAATACAAGTCTAAGGTAAGGGGTGGCCCATTCTATGCCGGACCACACGGTAGTGTTCTTCCCTGTGAGTGTCGTAAAAGGCGACTAAGGGATTTTGATAGTCGAGGGATGGGCAGTATTATATATAACGTCACTCTTATTACATCATGAAAACCTAGAGGGGTTGGAAGGGATTTTTAGTAATGTATTGATAGATTGTTAGGTACTGGTACCTAGTACAATTAGTAATACTATACACGAATATTTCTTGTACTACAATTATTATATTCGATTGCCATCTTGCAAGCATATTGCGGCATATAAAAAAAGCGATGAAAAAACAGGGGTTGATCGTAAAAACATGAAAATTTTAATATGTATGTATTTTTCAATGCTAAATCATAATAAAATAAAAAAAAATATTTAAGGGTAGCTCACTGTACCCATCTAATTCACACTGGACGCAACAAGCTGATGCAAAAAATTTAAGCACATATGCTCTACTATAAGTACGAAGCCGGGGTGTATTGCTAGTTATATCGGTATCATCATTTCAGCTATTATCCGTCCATAGCTGAACATAGGCCTTCCCCATAGACTACCATAGGGAACGGTCCTAAATCACCTGCATCCACTGACTCTATGCAATGCATTTGAGGTTGTCACTCCGTCCTGGCTCGCTTGCTCCTACGGGATCGCCAATCAAAAACTTTTCTTTCCCATCGGTTGTCGGTTCTTCGAGCTATGTGACCAGCCCATTGCCACTTCAGCTTGCTTATCCTTCGGGCTATGTCGGTTACTTTGGTTCTTTTGCGGATATCCTCGTTTCAGATTCTATTACGCAAAGAGACTCTTTCTAGTTAAATATAAAACATTATTTGACTTATGTAGAGTCATCTATTACTCGACGTAACATTTGAAAATACTGCAGTGAAATATCACCGAGTGCACTTGGGTATCGAATAATCATTAACACTAATTTTATTATATCAGAAAATCATTAATGATTTAAGCTGGCGTTAATTGTATCGATTTATTCGACTATCAACGGTATGCTAACTAATGCATTATATATAATTTAGTATAATATAATTTGATTACTAGATACATATAACTTTCCCTTTAAACTTAATTTTACTGGTTACTCTGAGTCATAGATTGCTATTTGCTTTTCTATTACAGTTAATTTTTTTATACAGTAATATTTATGTATTTATTTATTTAATATATTATGTGTATGTTTATATTAGTCTAATTATATATTTATATTATATGAATATATTAAGTATTGCTTTATTTTTCCGCTATTTAATAATGCTTTTGCATAGAACTTTATTGTGCATTAAAGTTTAAATAAAATAGAATATTAAGCATATATTGTTTTTTTCTTTTTACAAAAAAAAAAAAACTGACTTCAATTATGGAACAACTAGTTATTTTGATTTAAAACTAAACTATTGAACCGATTTTGATGATATTTCTATGGAACTAATTTGTAAGTACATATATAATTTCAGCCAAGATTTTTTCAAACTGGTTTATAAGTTATGAGGATAACAAACAGACAAAAAATGCAATTCAATCAAGAACCTCCTTCTTCTTGAAGTCGGATGAATATAGACAATATGCTCACGACTGTAATCCCTAATGGTGTAGTCAGAGGTATTTGTCAAGTATTAGCATTGCGAATGTGCCCACATTCGCTGAGCATATTAAAATCCAACGTAGGTGAAGTTCCGTCCTTACTTTGATTTATTCATTTACTAGCTTTTATATGCGACTTCTTCCGCATGGCCTTGGTATATTTACTATCCGGGATAAGAAGTAGCTTCTATCCTTCATTCTTCATCCTGTATAGTACGCATATACCAAATTTCATAGTGATTAATTAAGTCATTCAAGCGCTATAATGTAACAAAGATTGAAACTTTGTACAAAAGTCGTTTGCTTGGGCACCTCTGTTCCATTCGTGTTTCAACCGTAAAGCAGTTGTGTTTGCATGGCTGTTTCGGTTTGAAGGGTGGGATTTAGCAGTGAATTTACAGAGTACAGAGGAATAACAACTGAGTCCTCGGGAATAGCAACGCCTGGGGAGTATCATGGGCGAAACTGTATACTCTGTTACGTCCATGGTACTGCTTCATCTTTAGACATTTGCACACATAACTCCTGATGTCCTTTATAGTTTATAATTAAACCTTAAATTAAACATTTGTCCACTGACTCGTCGAGACAAATGAAATGGAACCTTAGTCATCCTTTATTTTAATTCAAGTTTCTATGGCCTCCTCACTTAGACATAATATCTATTTTGTAGTATCATATCTTAGATTATATAGATAGAGCATCGAGCCTCAAAAACGGGTCATTTTTTCGTTAGCTAATTATAAAATTAGCTGACTTGTTTTTTTGTCAGTGTTCTATATATGCACACAATTTATTTTGACATATCTATTTTTAATTATTTAATAAACAAAATAAGTTTTTAAGCGTTAAAAAAGATGCAAAAATAAGACAAAATAAATATAGAAGTTATAAAGGGATAATTCATAACTATTTGTCCCGCAAAATTGTTTGAAAAAGTTGTCCCACTTTTCTCGAAGCATTTGTATGGAGACACTATTTATATAATCTATGTATCAAATATAAAAAAGAAGCATATTCACTGAAATCATATAAGTGTACTATATACCTACATATACAAACATTTTTATCAGTTATCATTAATTGCTGGAAGAATTAATTTATTTACACATATCGCAAGGACAAAAAGACACAAAGGAAGTGTACTTAATTCATAAAGTGTAATATATTAAAATAAACTTACCAGCATACAAATTTCATTGTCAATAATACTGAAAATCCCAAACACAGAGTGGACACTTCACAAACAAAAACTTTTCAAGTAAATTCGCCAATTACGAAGGCACTTTACAGGAGATACTTGCTCGCCGTTCGCGTCGGGTGGGTTGAGTTTTTTTTTTAATATTTTTTTTTTCTATGCGAGAAGTGATTAGGCGCGGTCGGGGTGGGCCCCGCGGTAGTTTGAACTGAAAAGTCGTTGCGGAGCGCTGGTTGCGTGTTCGGTCCCATGGTAGACACCCACCGCCCGCCACGTCAGAAGCACTCAACTTTTTAGTACATACGATCAATAAAATATCAATTTATTTGTGTAATTAATGTGGCTGGCTTTTTTAGAGTTTTTTTTGGTAATTAATATCGACGATATACGATATATTAAAAAACAGTTATTATGAGATTTCTTTTTTTTATTACTGTAATCTCAATATTCCTGTGAGTCTAGTATAGTAATCACCGATTAGTAAATCGTGTACCCGCATTTTTGGTTTAAATAAAGTTGTTATTATTATTATTAATTATTTTCCTAGCTCGTCGTATATGTGTATATATATATATATATATATATATATATATATATATATATATATATATATATATGGGGTCTATTTACAATTATATTATATATTATAAATATGCATAAAGATAACGTTTTAAAATCGCTGTATTTATTGAATAATTTAAAATATATATACACAATAAATACAGCGGTAAAACAATAAGTATTTTAAATATCATATAGTCGTTAAAATAAAGTAGAAAAAAATAATAAATATAGATTACAATTTTACAAGCTTATATTTTGTTTTCTTTATTTTATTCAAAGGTCCGATGCAAATAAAACATATTTACTTTCTCTACTCTCTCATACATATTTAAAGGAATTCGCATAAAATGAATAGTTTCAAATTATTTGCAAAATAATTTTGAAATTGTCAAAAATTTTATATAAGTATTTATTTCATTTGTTTTATTCAAATTAGTTATTTTTATTTTATGTGTAAAAGAAGAACAAAATATTTTTACAATAATTCACAGTAATCTCAAAGAGATCAGTGCCAACAAATGCACTCGTTCACGAGTATGACGAATGGGGTCAGTCACCGTCTAGTTTAACCATATTTTAGAAAGTCCGTCGAGCTGGCTCGCCAGGTTAATACCTCTCTGGACATTATAGTAAGATAGATTTGGTTGTTTACCCGACTGTGTCATCTTTATGTCAGCCTTTAACTACACACTGCTCAACATAAGGCTCTTTCTTGGGGGGTTTTCCAGTAGTTTCCATACTTGGTACGCGGATTGGCATCCACAGTTAGGCTTTGGAGACGTTTTAAAAGGGACGCTGCTGCCCATTTCTTGCCCTCCCTTAGTCGCCTCTAACGACACTCACGAGAAAGGAAGGGGTAGCCTATTCTATTCTGGGAACACAGGGCAACTATGTGATAATCGAAATAGTTTTTTTTAAAGCGACTACCCTAAGAAAATTTATTACAACATTATATGTCATAAATGCAATAAATATTCTCATAATGTGTTAGAGATATATTTTTTTAATGGGTGATAATAAAATGGTAATTCACCTGCGCTATCAGTATACACTGGCGGGGCACCAGTGAGGGATTTTTTTTTATACCACTGAGGTGGCAAACAAGCATATGGCCCACCTGATGGTAAGCGGTTACCGTAGCCTATGAACGCCTGCAATACCAGAGGTATTACGCGCACGTTGCCGACCCTGAAGAAATCTCTTTACCCCCCTTTTGAAGAACCCCATGCTGTAGTCTCGTGGGAAAACCTCGGCAGGGAGCTTATTCTCTCTCATAATAGATGAGAATGAAACAGGTCAGTTGGCCCATAGTGACAAATTCATAAAAATTTAATTAAGATGGTTTCCAGGAGGAACTGAGAGGAAATCGACCTGATAGGATATATTATTATGGGGCTGTTAGATCCCCAATACTAACAATCTCTTGCCTTTCGGGTTAGAGATATTTTACGATTATTGTCGTAATGGTGAGTGTAATGCTCGACGTACCCACATCTAGCTCAGCATAAAATAGGGAGCGAGCTAACCCTCGTCACTCGAAGTATCGTGTTTTTTGTCATCTGAGAGTTAATTAGAAATTAAAACTAACTTACAGATTGAATGTCATTTAGTTATATACGTGCTTATACAGCCTTGCGCTATATAATATTTACTCATATATATCTTACGGCATCTATATTATTTAATGAATTCATTATGGTTAAATCTATGTACAAAATTACTATTTTTTTTTTTATTCATATACAGAAAGACTATGTTAATTTCTGTGAGCATGTATATAGTAAAACGAATCTCGTTTCCTACAGACAGTACTAAACTTTGCGCTTAAACAAGCACACTTTGATAATAAATACATTTAATAACCAAACTTATTCAAAATCAATTAAATTTACATTAAAAAATCAAAGTACTTTAATATAAATAAATACTGACAATAACAAATTTTTGGATGTTCAATCTCAAGCTAATTCAATATTAATTTAACTTTTGGTGCCCTAGGGGAATTCATGAAAATCATTTTTAATTATCCATTAGTGAAAATGTTGGCCCCAGTTGGGAGTTACGTTGATAAATTAATCAGTTGGTCACTTACAACTTTTTATTTCACCCTATCATCTTCGTCCTAGCCTTAATCCTGGCCATTGCTGGGATCAACTTTCCTGCTGTTTCTGTTACACTACCATGCTCTGTGTATCTTCCTTAAAGAAAACATTTGCTAGCATATCTTCATTCACGATGTTCAGCCAGTATTTCTTTAGGTCAGCCACGAGATCTAATATCATCTATTTGTAGATTTAAGCATCTGTGATCAATGCAATCTGCAGATATGATCATACCAGCGCAAACAGATTTCTTGCATTTTATGAGATATCTTATGTATAATGAGTTTGCTGTGAATGCCTTCATTACAGACGTGATCAGCTCGTGTAACTCCAGACATTCAGCGTAATATTTCACCTCAGTCACCAGAATATTCTGTACATGCCTTGAAAGTATAGGCCATGTTTCGCTACTATACATGAGTACTGGTCATACGATTAGACTATCATACGATAGTCTTGTAGACTAAGCATTTTTTCTTTACCTTATATAGGTTCTAATCACATATATACCTGTTTGAAAATATCTTAATGTTCTGATAATTCATTCTATAGAAAAATTACGGTTAATTGCTTGTAATTATAAGTCTATAACATCATTTTTGGACATATAGTACTTACATCTAAATTCTGTCTCTCTCTCTCTCTCTGTCTCTCTCTTTTTATTTAGGAGTTTCCTCTTGTCGGAACTTTCCAATGCCAACTCTATTTTAGACCAAATCTTTGACTTATCTATACGACATGACACCCAGTGTTTCCTTTATCTGTCCCATGTAGTTATTTCTCAGTTTTCCCTTCCTCTTATGCACTCTATTTTTCCTTCTAGTATGATAAACAAAAAATTGTAAACAAGGTAACCCAGCATTTTGCCATTTACATTCTCTGTTGTTTTTATTAATCCTCTTTTCTCTTTCCCCTTTTTTAAAACTCCCTCGTTCATGATTTTTTCTGTTCAGCTTATACTTTCCATTCTCTTCCATGTCCACATTTCTAATGTCTTAGGCATCTGTCTTTCCTTTTGCGTCATTGTCCATGTTTCACACCAATATAATGCTATGTTCCAAACGTAAGTTGTTATAAATTTTATACGGATTAATTTTGATATTTTTAAAGTTATTATAAGATTGTTTTGCATTTGTTATTCTAGATCTAATATCTAATGTGCACCTAGCATCCTCTATGATTATACTTCCTAAGTACTTAAAGTTCTAAATATTTTGTATAGGCATGTTATTTATCTGTATTTCACTTTGGTTGAACAATTTAATTAAGTTTTTAGAAGTACTGAGTATTATGGTTTTATTTGTGTTAAAAATGTTTTAAATATTTAGAAATTTATTATAATAGTTTTGTAATCTTTACTTATTATACCTTAACATTTATTATAAAGTAGTGGAAATCTGATAAAAACTCACTATTGATAATAACGTTCTTAAATATAAATTATTACGAATAGCTTCTCCAATTTCTATTGACACCGTCGCTAGTAACTTACCATAGAAAGGGTTACCGATTACAGAACACTGCGCATGATATCAATTACTATCGGTAGCGTTGCCAATTAATAATAATAACAATAAAATTACTTATTCAACTACAAAATATAACAATATTAATGATTTTATACATTAAAGTAATAATTCTGTGGTAACAGCTGAAATGGTCCCCACACAGCTTAAGATGCAGCGTGGTGCTGCAGCGCTGATTTTCAGTGGGGCCACCACTCGATGCTTCACTTTCACTTTTAACTGACGGACAAAATTACTGTTCACGCTGTCGCCAATTACTATTAAATCTTTCGCCGATTATTATGGGTAGTGTTACCAATTACTGTGAGTAACGTTGGCAATTACAGCTCACGCTGTCGTCGATTACTATTGACAGCGTTGCCAATTAATATCAGAACATTGCCACTTATAGTTACTATTATTGCCGATTACCATAAATAAAGTCGCCGATAACTATCAGTAATGTTGCTAACTATAGTTCACATTATCATCGATTACTAACGACAGTATTGCCGATTAATATCAGAGAACAGCCACTTACAGTTTATCCTATCGCTGACTACTATTAGAAGTGTCGCCGATTACTATCTGTAGTGTTGCTAATTACAGTTCATGCTTTCGTCGATTACTGTTCACAGTGTCGCCGATTAATATCAGAGCATAGCCACTTACAGTTCATATTGTCGCTGATTACTATGAATAAAGTCGCCGATTACTATCAGTAATATTGCGAACTATAATTTACCTTATCGTCGATTGCTATTGACAGCGTTGCCGATTAATATTCATTCATGCATTGCCACTTACAGTTCATGCTATCGCTGACTACTATAAGCACTGTTGCCGATTACTATCTGTAGCGTTGTTCATTTTCAGTTCATGCTTTCGTCGATTACTATTCACAGCATTGCCGATTAATTTCAGAGCATTGCCACTTACAGTTTATATTGTTGCCGATTACTATCAGTAATATTGCTAACTATAGTTCATATTGTCGTCGATTACTAATGACAGTGTTGCCGATTACTATCAGTGCAGAGCCACTTACAGTTCAT